TAAAACCTAAAATCCTGCTAACTTTGCTAGGCTCTCCCATCACTTGATAGAACCAATCACTTTTTGTCTTCCTTAAAAATTCAAATACTAAAATTCCCAATCCTTTACCACTGCCCAAACCCAATGTTCACCCGAAGATAGTGACATGTTTCTAGCAAGCAATTCAAGCACAGATAAATTTTGTTGTTGTGTCCAGTATAGTAAAAAGAGAATGAGGCTTTGGAATCAGACAGATTGTGTTTAAATCCACACATTCCCATTTATAACCCCATTTATAACCTCTGAGGTTTTGGACAAGTTACTTATCTTTCTGAAGAATATTTTTTCTTTCCTATTTCTCAGAGAAATATGGTGTTAGATTACATAAGCCTAGCATAAAGTGAATGTGTTAAAAAATGTTATTCTCATCTTTAATACCATCTCAAATACAAAACAGCTAAGCTATAAATATCAGTTCAAGAAGTTTTACTTTTAAAGGCTATTTTTTTTTATGTCTACCACTAATGAAATAGTAAGTAGAACAGAGTAATTTACCAACTGGCACACAATAAATCATAACCAGTCCCCCATCAATGACAGTAACGAATAAAGTATGACAAAATCTTGCAAAGGACCAAATAAAGGATAAAAAAACCTTTTTTTTCTTTTAGAAATTCTTCTTTCAAAAAATTCTTTTCCCTTATTCTTAAATTTAACTGCTTCCTAGGCTTTTGAAGTCAAATCATCAAGTAAAAAGGGGTCAAAATATTCAAGGCAAATGCATCTTGATAGAGAGTAAATAACCATGATCTACTGGAATCAATGATTTCCATAGGAAATTAATATGGATATATAATAATGGTGATAACTTGAACTTATAGGGCACCTTTTGAGGAAGGAGTTCTCTATACTCTTTCTATTCTGTAATTTATTGCCTATCATACAGGACAGGTACGAACTATGCTGCTATATGGAGCAATTACCTAAATTACTAATATGTCAAAATATAAGATAAAACACATTTGTTAAGCATTTTAGAGTGAGTGACATGCTTTTTCAATTAACAATGAAGGTAGTGGAACCCACATGTCTTGATCCCCTTCCCCACCCCCATAATAGCATGGTAGAAATAAACTGCAATATTTTAATACTTTCATAAATTCTAGTATAAGTATTTTTTATTCTACTAACATTATATCAAGATAAATACTATAACAATTATACTGGGTACTACTTAACAAGAGCTGAACATAAGCCCTATACTGTGCTAATAATTTCTCACAATTTTCTATTAGCTGCTTCTATATTCAAACAACATTTTTATCTTGACATATTTCTTCTGCAAGATGAATTTATTCCCTTTTCCTACTACTAATTCTCCAGCTGTGCTCTAACATGATCCCATTTTTCTCAAAGATTTAGAACTTTGTTCCAAAGTTTACGTAAACTTTGTCCACATAAATAGTGTTCTATATCTACCTTTTTATATCTCCCTCTCCGAATGGTCACTTTTTATGTCATGACTTTTCTAACTCCTTCTGCTATTCTTAGAAAAATTAACCTCTTATTCTTCAATGTTCCTAAAATATTTTGCTCATATTGCTAGTATGAATGAGGAGGTGTGCTGGGGAAAGCAGTATGACTGAAGGAAAGAGTAGTAGCTTTAAGGTTGTCTTTGGCACTTATAAGCTGTGTGACCTTGGGCATATTCCTTGACCTCTCTGAGCCTCAGATTCTTGATCTGTCAAATAGGGAAAATTAACACCCACTCTACAAGACTCTGATGAAGACTCAATGAGAATGAATATAAAGCACACTAAACTGGCACTCTCAAAACACTGTATTATAATTTGCTGTGGGATGAAAAGGTCTGTTTATCTACTTAGATAAAAAAAAACTCCAGGAAATCCAGATATTCCTCTCCCTGTTCACCAAAATCAGTGCCCTTGATTATAAACCTCATGAGATTATAAATCCCAATTTATGTACCTCTGAATCCCCAATATCTAGCCAAGAACCTTTCACATATTAGATGCTTAATATACGTTAGCTGCAGTAAAAATAATTTAGCTGTAGGTAGTAAGTAAATTATGTGATATGTTTAATTTCTACTAGAATGGAACAAACTACGTTTCTTTTTTCAACGGGTACCATTATTTTACAAAATTACATTGCTTGGGGTGTTTTTCAAGCTACATTCTCAATTCTCAATATAATCTGATTAATACCCAGAAAATTTAAAAGTCCTTTTCTACTGAAAAGCTCAAGGATTTTTACAGACATTATCTTATCAATCCTTCCCACATCTCTGAGGTAGATGGAGATGGGGGGAAAAGATGGCATCATGAATCCATATGAATCCATAAATTCCACAAATACTCAGCAAAAATCTCATCTAATTTTTCAATTTATGTGCATTTTGTCATCATTTTATTTCTGAATCTACCTAAGGTACCTATTTACTCATTACATCTGGATACACTAGACTGTACCAGAAGTGTTTTTATTATTTGCTTAAGAAAGCAAAAATTTCAGAAAGTACTATACACAGTAAGCAAAACACAGAACGACATAAAAATAACCTAATTTCCTAAGAGAAAATTGCCCTGTTTAGGCTACTGACCATAGATCTACTTCAGCTAACAAAAACAAGACGGCAAAATATTTAGGAATTAGACACACTATTTTCTCCAAACTTTAATAATCAGAGACCAACAACCCAATCTCAGCTTTAACTTCTTTCTGTTCCCCATCATTTGGTTCTTTTATGCTAGGACTTTCTAATAAACCTTGCTGATTGCCCACCCAGGAACCATTCTCCCCCTTCCTTTTGTTTTTGTTTTTAATAAATTTTATTGTGCATACTTAAGGTATACAACATGATGTTATGGGATACATATAGATAGCAAAAAGGTTACTCTAGTGAAACAAATTAACACATCTATCATCTTACCTGGTTACCCATTTTTTTTGTTTTTGTGGTAAGAGCAGCTACAATCTATACAACATGAATCCCAAATACAATACAATTTTATTACCTATAGTTCGCATTCCACATTATTAGACAGACTTGTTCATTCTACATATCTGCTACTTTCCCCTCTCTTTTGTTAATAGATTCATTCTCACTTTTGTTCAGGCAACATTGTGCTCAGCCCTAGGAAATAAATCATAATTGACTAGCCAATTCTGGCAATCCTGATACAGTTTGCCAGTAATTGGTCTAAAACCTGTGGTTTTAGAACTGGCCAGCAAGTTGAAGGAAGTTCCTGGAGATTATTTCCTCTCTGAGAAGAGGGTGGCAACAGAAGTAGACTCTTTTGCTCCCCAACCAGTTTCTTTGAACCTAGCAAGTTGTCAGTTTGGACCTGATACTTAGAGCTGAGCTACTATCTTGAGACAATGAGGGAAGACCAAAAGAACTTCCATGTTCCTGACTTCATACCCAGACATAACTGAGTCCCATATCTTCTTGTTATGTGAAATAAATATTATTTCCATCTAAGTGACTGAGGGTCAGATAATCTGTTTCTTGAAGTTGAAAGCATCCTAATAAACACAGACAGACCAATAAATTAGGCAAGAAGGGAAGTAGAGATTAATCATTGAACACCTATTAATTCTGTGATCTCATTTAATCTATATAACAGCTCAATGAAAATTATTCACGTTTTCGTTTGTTTTTACAGATTAGAAAACTAAGGCTTACTAAAGTTATATACTTAACAGTAACAAAGCTAAAATTCAAATCCAGACCTGACACCAAACTTCACATTCTTTCTAAAAATACAAAATCATCTTTCCTCCTTATTTACAACTCTTGTTTGTTTAAAAAAAAAAAAATCAGGGCCGGCCCGGCTTGGGAAACAGAGACAAGGACCAACTAGGACTTTATACAAGCTTTGCATCAACCACATGCAGAGTGCTGAGTTGGGCCAGCTGAAGACAAGAGACTGTCACTCATTTTACCTCTTCTGACCTCAATTTCCTCCTGGCTTCTGTGAAATGGAGAATATAGTTATTCTCTACTTGTTGTGAACTCAGATCTGACTCTGCTCTTGACTACTGAGCAAGTAAGTCTCTCCTCTCAGAGCCTCAGGCCTTCCAATGCTCTGAGACACTAGTGAGAGGATATCTAATAAAAGAGTATGTTAAGGGCCGGCCCGGCTTGGGAAGTGCGGCGGCGCTCCTGCCGAGGGTTCGGATCCCACATACAGACCGGCGGCTCACTGGCTGAGTGAGGGGCGGGAGCAACACCGAGGGTTGCGATCCCGTGGCCGGTCCCGGTCCGGTACGGGCGCGACACTGAGGGTTGCGATCTGTTGCCGGTCACGAAAAAAGACAAAAAGGATAAAAAAAAAAAAAAAATCAAACAAACTAGCAAACTGATGTGTTATTAGCTAACAGAATTTTGGGAGAACTAAAGAATATCAATTATTCATATAACTTGTCAAAAGGATCTATAGTTTTCAACTCTATTTTATATCAAAGTTATATGGAAGAAAAGACAAAAATATGTATGTATATAAAAAGTTCCAGAACGTCTAGTACAATGGCAAAAATCCTATGGAAAAAACTGCAATGGATTCTAAATGTAATATTCAATTTCTCAAAAATTAAAAAATACAAAGCTAATCATAAATGTTTCCTAAACTGAAAGAATAACTTCCTAAAATGAAAGAATAACTTCCTAAACTGAAAGAATAACTTTCTTATTTCGAATTATTCCATTAACCAAGTATCTATCAATATAGAAACCACAAAGTTAACACTTCCTCAATTCACATCTCTTCATGAAAATGATTCAGTGTAAATACTGGCAACAACAAAAAAAAACATATACACTTTCTAAGAATCAGTAAGGACTTTTTTTACGTAGACATTAACTAGAACTGGGTTTTCAAAATCTACTCATAATGTCATCACAACCAGAAATACGTTTACCTTATGTTGCCTTTAATTTCTAATTGAGCATTACAAAATGAGCATGCCAGATTTCTGAGCTTATACATGCAACTTACCTTCCCACATGCTCTACAATGATGCCTCCTTTTGGTGAATGTAAACCTGGCTTCACATTTCATGCAATTTGGAGCCTGAGAATCCGGTACCCATACTGGAGCCACCTCACCCAGAGTGGTAAATGGTTTTCTGGCAGAAACTCCAAATTGACCGGCTCTGAGATCATTATCTGGGCTATCTGGAGCCAGCGCAAGACATGGTCTACTGGAGATTTCAGCCTCATAACTTTCTAAATGTTCCCCATTTGTATCAACGATAGAGATGTTTCCCAAAGATGCACTGCATACATTGGTTGTTGAGTTTTCTCCTAATTTTGCTTTCCCAAGAATATCATTTTTGTTTTTAATATTATTTCCATTGTTTGTTGCAAGGTCATTTTGTAAATGGTCTGATAATGGCTTTGGAATTTGAAGTTTAAGATTAGAAGGTTGCTTAGGTCTTGCACCACCAAAAGGAACACTGATAGATTGCAGGTTTGCTACTATCTTGGGGGAAGACTGCCCAAGCACTGATGGAACTTGACTACAGAAATTATGTAAATAATTTTTCTTCATTAGGTCACCAGTGCTGTTTAACAGTAGTACACTCCCTTCTGTGGTCTCATTTCCTCTCTGTTCATAAATATTTGAGTAGTATTCCGACTTGCTCTCCTCTATTTCTTTTTCTTCTGTTACTGAATCTTCTTTGGAGGGTAAAGTCTTTGGAACAAAAGAAACAACTGGACTCTGCATTCCATAGGAATCACAACCATTAGATAGAGAATTTGCTGCTGGTGTATCTATAACAGTGGAGAAATCACATCCTTCACTTTCATTCATGCAAGTTCCTTTTAAATCTAGACCTGCGTCTGTCATTCCAACACACTCTCCTCCACTATCACCATAAGTGTCCTCAGGCTGACTAATCTGAAGAAAATTCTCCTTTTCTTCATTTACTTGGCTATCGCTCATCTCATTTAGTTTAGTCAATTTCCAGTTAGTCATCTCCTGAGATTCAGAGAAATGCTCTGTCATATTAAGAAATTCTGTAGTACCAAGAATTTCTTCATGTTCACAACCCTTATTTTCATTAGCCCTAACTTCACTAGGCACAAAGCAATCAGAAAACTGTTCATAGTTATTATCCCTTTCAGACCCATTAGGAATGTCTGGTTTGAGAAACAACGGTAGACCAGACCGGAGGGATTCTTCAGTGGTTCTCTCCTCTGCTGGCTCTATTTTTGTCAAAATTCCCTCACTCAAGTGGGAAAAGGAGTTTGGACTCCCTAGATCTGTCCTAGGACAGCAGTTTTTACCAGTGAGGTCCTCATCTGGTGTATAGTTCTCTTGCTTTTTAACAGCAGGACCTCCACCTGTTCCCTGGGATGAGATTACTGAATCAACCTGTAAACTTGTAATCGCAGACATGGAGAGGTCTCTACCTACATTTTCATCATCCTTTAATTGTGAAGGGAAACAGACACTGGCTAGCCTATCAGATGAAGTAGTACATAGATGGCTAACAGAATCCCCCTCTGTTTTTGGTCTATTCAATGGATCCATTTGTTTTTCTGAGTTCATATCTTTTTCAGAAGACCCACTTCTACTAAAACTAAATTGATCAGTTTGTCTGTTTTCATTATCCAGTGAACAGCTAAAAGCATCCATGAGGGATTGACTATTACAACTATTACAATCCTGCAAATCGCTTTGTAATGTCCTTTTATCACAGTTATGCATGACAGCTACAACAAGAACATTCTTCTCATCTGGCAAACAAGCTAGATTTCCACACTTCTTCTCTCCCACTTCAACAGCACTGAATTGATCATTCTGATTATAGTTTCTCTTAATTAACTGATCTTCTGCAACGGCATTTTCATCAATCCACATTGTGGTGGTCTCTGGATTTACACCACAGTCCTGTCTATTAGCACAATGATCCTCTCCCTCTGTGGTCAGAGGAGCTGAATAAGCCAGGGAGAAGACTTTCTGTTGTGGTTGTGACTCATCAGAAACTGCAGGTTCATTCACACTGGCCAATGCAGGGCTAAATGACAGTCGGTGAGAAGGGGGATCTAGAATCTTATTCCACTTTGTATCCAGCAAAGTAGGAGAAACTGTTTCATCTGAAAAAGTAAGTAATTACAATAAGTTTGCTAGCAACACTGAAAAAGCTACTAAGACTAAATCCATCAACACTTCTAACTATACTGTGAAAATAAAATATTCCTAGGATATGAAGGCTTCTAATTTTTGGCTAGGAATAGGAAAATATACTTAAGACAATTCCCTCCAATTATATGTTATCAAATGGTAATATCTCAAACATTCTAAACAATAAAATAACTCTATCTATCTAAGTAATATAATTAAATTGGCCCACAGGCGGTAGTGGGGCACAGGAGAGGGAAAAGCATCCTCAGATTGTCCAGGTACAAGGCACAGTAGCGACTAATCTAAAGTGTAAAAAAATTAGAACAGTAGTGAGGATACAGTAATTGAGTGGGAAGGAAAATGAAGGAATTTCCTGGGGAGATGGAATGCTCTGTAATCTACATCATGATTGGAATGTGGGTTACATGGATATACCCATCTGTCAAAACAGTTGAGATCTATGCATTTTGATGTATAGCAAGTTTATCCTAAGAAAAAACACTGTAAAAAATAACAATGAAACAGGGAGTGAGGAACAGATAAAGGTAGAAATGAAACAAAAATGGCAGCATGTCAATCACTGTTGAAGCTGGATGATGGGTAGATTGCGGTTTATTATACTATTCTCTTTAATATATATATATATATTTAAAATTTGTCCATAACAAGTTAAAAAAAAGTTTACTATAGTACATGAAGTTCTGCTTGTAACCATGTCACAACACATTATTAATTAGGTTCATATTTATACTATTATCTGAGGACATTTGGCAAAAAGTATTCATTTATCTTATTAAATCAACCTACTAATAGTCTATCAATAAGCATAATTTCATGAAATGTTTCTGTTTACTTTTTAAAAGGTCATAACTATGATGGCTAAGTTATTCCCAAAGTTATACTACTACTGTGTATGTCTAAGTAAATTAGAGAAATAATGTAATTAGTGCTTTCCTGCTTTCTTCCTTCAGTAACTCTAATAACCATGGTCTTGAAATTGCCCAGATCTACTTGTAACATTAATTCTCATCTATAACATTAATCTTCAATGTGCCCATAGTACCTTGTTCATACCTCTATTAAGGGACATACTATACTGTAATGCAATGGCTTATTTTGCTATCTCTTTCATCCACTAAATGATTTCTGAAGACAGAAACCATTTCTTTCCATCGATGTCATTCTTCACTTTACATAGAGACTGGTATGTAGTAGGTACACAAAAAAATATATTGTAAGTGAGCATCTACCATAGTAAAAGTACTCGTTTTAGGAAACTGAAGGTTAAATGACAGCTCTTGCCTCCAAGAAGTATATAACTAGTTGGGAGAATAAGATACAGATACGATATACATAAATATCTAATTAACAGTACAGGGTAGCATAAGTATTTGAAAACTCTTATGTAGGAGTAGAAAATAAATTCAGAGGAGAAAGGTATTTTCCAAGAAGAAGTAAGCAAGTTTGAATTCATGGAGGCAGGAGGAACTGGGCTAGACTTTAAAGACAGTTTTCTGTAAGTTTGGAAAAGAAGGCATTTTTAGTAGGAGAACAAGGAAAAGCATAGCCCCAAATATAAGACTTTAAGAGAGAAGTAAGTAAATCAGTTTGGGCTGAGAAAAGAATTAGTGTAAGGAAGTTGTGAAAAGAAGCTAGAAAGGGCAAATGGTAAAGGCCATAAAACATCAGATTGTGTGAAGAATGAGCTTAGTTTCCTCTGCGTGTTAAATCCTGAGTTTACCAAATTTGGGCTAGCAGACATTTGAGATTTTGTAACGGGCTTTCTTTTTAAAAAAGAAATCTTCAAGGGTTCAGCTCCCCTTGCCAGCCAACTGCCAAAAAATAAAAAAAAAAGAAAGAAAGAAATCATATTTCCAAACTGGTTCCTGGAAATAAAAAAAAAGATATTGCTTCTAATAAGCATATTTGACAATATTCAAACAGGAATGACTGGGTATTAAAATTTTCATTAGTCAACTACTTCCTACCCGGGTATAATGTTAATAACCTAGTGTTGTCAGAGTCTGTTTGTGGTGTATTTTTCATTTAAAGACAAAAATAAAGTAAAACAAAATGAGAAATCACTTTATTTAAATTATACTCTTTAAGGTACCATGCTAGAGGTAGTAGTTTTTAATGCAGCTGGTACTAAGATTCAGAAAAATAGTTCAAACAAATGAATGATGCAGTTAAAACCAAGAAGCTGCTTTTGGAAATCCTCCTTCTAAAGGAGTTACTTTTGTAAGCAAATGCTATTTTTTCTAACTAAAATATTTTTACTGATACAACAAAAATGTATTGAAAAACAACAATGTACAAAGTACACTACTAGAATCTTAGAAGTCCTAAAGAGACTAATATAATGAACTAATAGTTTTATTACAGTCAATGGTTTTCTAGAAGCAAAGTATTCATATGATTAGGTATAACACTTGACTAGATATCTTATGACTTAAATAACTGTGATACATACAGGGCTAAATCAAAGAAAGGGTTAAGAAAATACTTGTATAAATAGCTGAAACTCACAGGATAATATACCTTCCAGAGTGGTATGTACAAAGCCCAGCTAAATCTAATAAAATCCCTAATGATTAGATTTCACATTTACATAAATCAGGAATGAGCCTAAGGATACGGGTTAGTGTTAGATCACCAATGGTAAAATATGAGAAGAGGCCATTCCGGTAATCAAAATTAATCTCTTTTCTCAACTGCTATCAAAGAATAACCTTCAGTCACTGAATATAGTGAAGGTTTAGAGACCATTACTAAAATAATATACTTTAGATAAAAATATATTACTTTTTAAACTTGTTACACGTCATTTCCTTTGAGAAATAGAGAACACAGGGGAAGAGGGGTGAGGTGAAAGATATTTAATTATGGCTTATCCATTAAGGTCAAATTGAGAGGGGAATTTAGGGAAAAGGCATCCTTCACTGAAGTGAATCTTAAACAGACATTTCTAGACTGAGGCTTGAGAATGTATAATTTAATTAATCATTCTGCCAGTTACTCAAAAATGTAAATCTTTTAAAATTAGTATTAAGATGCATCTTTACTTTATTGGGCAATTGATATGGAACAATCTATTTTTCTTAGTTTAGAAATTGCAAACATACATTCTAAAGCTTTTCTTGCCGATAAATTGACTGTATAGGGTAGCATAGAGCTCAAGCTCTCGTATCACACTGCCTGGATCCTAATCCTGCCACTTGTTAGCAAGGTAACTTTGCAGAAGTTGCTTAACCTCTCTGTGCCTCTATCCTCATCTGTAAAATGGAGATAAGAGGTCCTATCTTCATGGAATTATTTTAAAGATTAAATGGTATAATTCATGTAAGTAACTGGCAAGTAGCACTAAAAAATGTTATTCCTTCCTCTGGATATTACTATATATTATTATTATTATTATTAAGTGATAGGATCTGATATATATTTTTTAAGTATGGCATCCTCTCATATCGCCACATTCTTTATCATAAATCCAAATAGATTCAAAAATGTAAATTCTCACCTTCGTTTTGTTCAAATTCATCTAACACCTTGTCCAGGTTGTAAGCTTCTGCTTGGAAGTAATTCTCCATCGGTGAGGAAACACCACTCAAGAGACCTGTTTAAACCTAAAAAGTAGAACAAATGTGTATTATACTTTGAATTATTAAATATAATTTATACATCTTAAGTATACAAGGATAAAATATCTTATAAATCTATTTAGACAATGATAAACTAAAACTAGTCATCCCACTGGATATATTATAAAATCTTTAAGCTAATAAAGTCTAGAAACCTGTAAGCTGACAAATATCAATATAATTAAATATATAAGGCAGACTTAATGATCATTTCAAAAAACAAACTTCAGATGTTGACAAAGGATCATTTTGTTTGGGATAACTTTACATTTCTATTAGAAAGAAAACTTATACAATTTTTTTCAAATGGTAAATGACAGGAAAGTTTAAGCACAGCGTGAGAGATATTAGTTCCAAAATGCTAATGATGACTCTGATCTGTTAATTTTTTTTAATCTCTTCTTTTCAAGTACCATTTCTAAGCCTTCATTAGTATTAATTGATCTAAAAGCATCCTCTGGGCTTGTACACTAGGTGTGTCAACTACTTAGAATTCCAAGAGCTAATAGGAGGTGATAAATAAATGCTATCTATTATCCCATTTTTTTATCCATTACCATGATCTCCATGCTTATCTGTTTCCTTAATTTCTCAAAATTTTCTTATTGGATTCTTATTGGTATACAGCTGGCCCTCCGTATCTGTGAGTTCCACATCCTTGGATCCAACCAACTGTGGATCAAAAATATTCGAGAAAAAAAAAATGGATGGCTGCATCCATACTGAACATAAACAGACTTTTTTTCTTGTCATTATTCCCTAAACAATACAGCATAACAACTAATTACACAGCATTTACATTGTATTAGGTATTATAAGTAATCCAGAGATGATTTAGAGCATATGGAAGGATGTGCAGAGGTTACATGCAAACACTACACCATTTTACACAGGGACTTGAGCCTCCACGGATTTTGGTACCTGAGGAGGTCCTGGAACCAATCCCCCACAGACACTGAGGGGATGACTGTATATGGGAAGGGAGGTCAGATTACAATTTCCCCAAAAAGTCTGAGTAAGGAAAACATGAAAAGAGGTAAAATCAGAAATGTAATATCCTGCTATTACAAACTTTAAGTTAAATATAAAAAGTGGTATATTTTCCTTGACGCATAAAGATAATGTTTCTTCTTCCCTGAGGTATATAAAAGTGTCAATATTATTTCTCTCATTTTACAAATAAGAAGACAATCTCAGGTAATTTAACTGACTTATTCAAGTATTTCTCCATGATTATTAATTTAGTGAACTTTTATTTATTGATTGGCTCCTGTTAGGTTATTTAAGTTTTGGTAGACAAATAGGCTATGTAATCTTTAAATTGTTTTTTATAAACCAATCTTTTTTGTCTAATTATTTACCATTCAAAATCATTTTCATATACATGTCAGTCTTTTTAATAAAGACTGCATATTTAAACCACCTAATGCTAAAAGCAAATGAAATTTCCCACAACACACAATCTGGCACATTTATTATATGCCTACAAAACTTAACAGCATTTTGTGATCACTATATATAAAATCTTAATAAACAGTCAGATTAATATATTTATTGTAAAACTACTGTATGCGAGTAATTCAAGTCTCAGGCACCATCCTTAACAAGAAGCTTATAATTTAGTTAACGGTAAACAATGCTAAATAAGAAAATTTAAATAATATTGTAAATGATTTTAAAGAACTCAGTACAAGAAATACAGTATATCACCAGGTACTACATGATTAATTTGTCAGATAAAATTAATAGATAGGTGTTACAGAATAAGGACTACAAAAATTCAAGAAGTTGTATTGCTATATCAGAATACCTGAGACTGGGTGATTTATAAAGAAAAATAAAATTTACTGCTTACAGTTTCTGAGGCTAGGAAGTCCAAAGTCCATCTGACAGTGGCAACAATGACCCAGGGGTCTCACATTGCAAGATGGTGGAAGCAGAGAAAGCAGAGAGAGACTTTCTTCCCTCTTCTTTTAAAGCCCTCAGAACCATGCCCCTGACCACCATTTTCAATCCATTCACTACTGCAGGGTCCTACAACTCAATCACCTCTTCAAGCTTCTACCTTTCAATTACCATAATAGGATTTCCCACCCTCTTAACAGTCACAGTGGGGGCTAAGTTTTCAATACATAGAACTTGGGGGACACAATTCAAGCTTCAGGGAGTTTTGGGTGGATACAATTCAATCCACTACATTCCACCCCTGGCCCTCTAAAACTCATGTCCTTCTCACATGCAAATACATTCATTTCATCCCCAAAGTCTTAATTTGTTTCAATTCAAGAGTCTAAAGTTCAAAGTCCCATCTGTGAAATCAATACAAGTTATCTACTTCCAAGATACAATGGTGGGACAAACACAGGGTACATAGTCCCACTCCAAAAGGGAGAAATAGGCCAAAAGCAAAAACCGGTCCTAAGCAAGTCCGAAATAGGCCAAAACCGGTCCTAAGCAAGTCCGAAACCCAGCAGGGCAGGCATTAAATCTCAAAGCTGGTGAATCATGTACCTTGACTCCATGTTTGATATCCTCTGCCCACTGGTGAAGGGGTTGGGTCCCCAAGTCCTTGGGCAGCTCCACTCGTATGGCTTTCCTGGTTTCAATTGATGCTTTAGCTCTTGCAGGCTGGCATTGCATGCTGGTAGTTCCATAGGTCTGGGGTCTCTGTGGCAGTCCCACTCTCACAGCTCCACTAGACATGCTGCTGATGGGGTTTCTCTGCTGCAACTCCAACCCCACGTTTCCACTTGGCATTGCTCTAGCAAAGGTTGTCTGTGGTGACTCCGCCCCTGCAACATATCTCTTCCTGGGTCCCCAGACTTTTCCATACATTCTCTGAAATCTGGGTGGATGCTCCCAAGCCTTCCTAGCTATGGCATTCTGTGAGCCCACATGGATTCCACCAAGGCTTCCAGTTTGTATTTTCCAAAGCTGCACGTCCAACCACATCTGGGGCCAATTTACCCACAGCTGGAGTAGCCAAAGCAGCTGGGAAGCTGGTGCTGGAAGCAGCTTCCCGAGGTGGTCCCGGGCAGTGAGCCTGTGGAGGGCTCCTCAAGTCTGTTCCCCAAGACAATTCTGTCTCCCTAGGTCTTTGGTCCTGAAATGGAAGAGTTGGCCCCAGAGGCTTCTACAATGCCTTCAGGGCCTTCTTCTCCTCCCTTCATAATCCCTTTCCTTTGTACTAATCTTCTTAGCACCACTGGGTTTTTCTTCTGAAAGTGCTCTCTGCTTCTCTACCACATGGACAGGCTGCAAATTTTCCAAATCTTTACACTCTGCTTCCCTTTTAAATTCTGGCTTTATGTCGTGCCTTTGCCAAAACTCAGTGTAGGCTGTTGCAAGTAACCATGCAACTTCCATAATGCTTTGCTGCTTAGAAATTTCTTCTGCCAAATCCTCTGGTTCACAACTCCTAAGTTCCAACTTCCACAGAGTCCTATGGCATGGACGCAATGCAGCCAAGTTCCTTGCCAGTTCACAGCAAGGGTGATCTTTGCCCCAGTTTCCAATAAACTCCTTCTTATTTCTATCTGATATTTCCTTAGAAGGGTTTTTACAGTCTGTATTTCTATCGGTATTCTGCTCGCCACCACGTAACCAGTCTCTAAGGCATTCCAAACTTTCCCTCATCTCTTTGTCTTCTTCTGAGTTGTCCAAACTCCTCCAACCTTTTGCCTAATACCCAAGTCCAAAGCTGCTTCCAAATTTTCAAGTATTTTTTTTATAAGCAACACCCCACTTGTCTGGTTCCAATTTCCTGTATTAGTCCATTTTTGTGTTGCTATATCAGAATACCTGAGACTGGGTGATTTATAAAGAAAAACAAAATTTACTGCTTACAGTTTCTGAGGCTAGGAAGTACAAAGTCCATCTGGTGGTGGCAACAGTGACCCAGGGGTCTCACATTGCAAGATGGTGAAAAGAGGAGAGGAGAGGGGAGGAGAGGAGGAGAGAGGAGGGGAGGGGAGGGGAGGGGAGGGGAGAAGAGAGGAGAGGGACTCTCTTCTCTCCTTTTAAAGCCCTCAGAACCACACCCTGACCACCATTTTTAATCCATTAACTACTGCATGGTCCTACAATCCAATCACCTCTTCAAAGCTCCACCTTTCAATTACCATAATAGGATTTCCCACCCTCTTAACAGACACATTGGGGCCAAGTTTCTAATGTTCTAATTGTGGGGGACACAATTCAAGCTTCAGGGAACTTTGGGGGGACACAATTCAATCCACTACAGTTATTTCAGTTCATCATTCTTCATTTGAGCTCTTAGCTCAAATATCATTCCACAGAGAAGTAGTCTCTGAACCTCCAGAAAAGGTGATGGCTCCCTTTAAAATCTCTCACAGCACTTCTTTTCCTTTATAATATTTATCACCATCTATAATCATACATCATTGTGTTTATCTGATTAATGTCAATCTCTCCACAAAACTGTAGGCACCACACAGGCACCCACCAGACTGTGTATATCATGTAGCCCCAGTGATTATCACAGAAGCTGATATGGTATCTATTCAGTTAATACCTGTGGAATGAATAAATAAGCAATGTATAAATAGCTGGCCAATAAGTTGTACTGAACTCCAATTACAATTACTGATTCAGGCAAGCATCAAAAATGGATGCTAAATCATTAGTTAAATGGTTATTGATGAAGAGAATATTCACAGTGCCTCAAAATATCATTCCACAGATGAATTATTAATTTCAAAAGAGGAAATGTACCTTTACAATAAAGAGATACGGCAATCACCACCATAACCAAATGTTCTAACTTCGCATCACCAATAGTTTCATAAGCTAACATTATGCACTTTCTGATAGGATGCAATAAGAAGTATAAAACATCACTTATACAGTATGCGAAAAATATTTAGCCTGATTTTAATCATGAGGAAACAATTAGATAAATCTAAAATGTGAGGCATTTTAAGACAACTGACCTGACTCTTAAA